TGAACTAATATACGGATTTGTTTTTGTCCGAATTAGCCCGATCAGAAATGTCGGAGGGTGATTTTCAAGGCAAAGACCCCATATAATCGCCTAAACCCCAACCCCAACCCTAATCTATGCACTCACTTAACCCTAACCAACTTGAATGAACATAATATTTTTTTTTATTGTCAGGATTTGTCGGGATTTTACTGTCGGGATCTTGACCGACACCATTTGATATACTGTATTATGGGAATAAATAAAGATTTATTGTGTCTAGCAAATATTTTTTAATTAAAATTTTATTTCATTGAAGAAATATTATCTTGAGCTGACTTTAAGTAAACTGCTTTCTAGATTAAAATCTATATATACTTAAGTAGATTCGGTTCTACAAAATTCCAACAGCAGTAATAATTAATAATAGGATTTTATTGATACGAATGAATGTCTTTTCTATGACGTTAACTGTTAAGTGATTGAAAACTTACGTTTATTGCATCTACATAAACATTATGAAGATCATATCAAAAAAACGTAATTGTCTGTTCGAACGCGTACGCGTTTGAAATAGATGTAATCATTACTGTATAAAAATTTTTTAGGGCCTCTACCTTTTATGTTACACATATATATGTATAATATCGTTCCACTCTTACGGTAAAATAAGATAGAAATTAATATTAATTATATATGATATGGTTGATGATCTTGTATGAAAAATTAATGATCTCTTAAGTTATACGTGATGATATGGGTATGAATTGTATTAATGATCTATAATGTACACTATGCTTATAAACCTGTCGAGTGCGTATGACTCCCTCGGGTTCTGCTACCAATTAATAGTAAAACTGAATATGTATTTGAAAAGTGAAATGTAGATCTGTAAAAAACAGTGGGGGCTGATATCCAGGGGCCGCCCTCGGGTCTTGAAGCTCAATTCTGATGCATAATTTAATTTAGATATTGGAACCGCGAAAAGTTTTATTAACCGCTTAATCGCGTCGTTATTGTTAATTATAAATTACGTGATTAGCCGTATTAATCATTTTAACCGTTTAATCGTTCAAATATCGATGTGATGTGTGACTAAAGTACCAATGATAACCAAGTTTAGGAGAGTTTACTCGCTATATAATTTAAAAAATATATATAAGTTATATATCAGCTTAGTTCACAGAGTACTTTGTCTGTGAAATAAACTGTCTATTTTGTAAATTAATCTTGTCTGTAAATCTGTAAATTAATTCCTGTGAATTGTCTACTATCGCAAGTTACATACGCCGGTAGTGTGAATTTGATCGAAATAATAAGCTCTATATCTTGATTCGTTTAACCGTATAACATAAATACACGGTTAATTACAGTTAAATGAACAAGGTTCCAATCTCTTTCAATTTGGGACGCCAATCTTGAACATTCTATCGTAGAGTTAATTTTCACAGCTAAAAGAGAAAAATTTATGAAAATCCACATCACCGTTTGACTGGTCATGATTATAATTATTGTTAGGAGAAATAACTTCGTATATAGTTAGTTGTTTTAAATTGTTCAAATTTAATTGCAGGGCCCTTGAATACGTGTTATCGCTATACATCACTTATGTCAACTTCCGATTTCTCGATTTGCATTTTCAAGTTTGTTCATAACTGCTTCTCGTCAATTATTTGAATTGCTGCAATTGCATACTGATATAACTAACTTTTCTGCGAGCTTTTTATAATTGTAAATAAAATTTTCTTACACAGTTGTATATTTCTATTGCATCTTTTAGCCCATACAAACTTAATAAAATGGTTTTCATAACCTGGCTGGGTCAAGTTCTACAAAATTCAGAAAAAAATTTTAAATATAGAATAAAAGTCGGGTTGCCGGATCGTTTTTAAAATTATATGTTATGAGAACCAAAAAATTAACCTTATCAGTTATAATGTTTTCAATATCAAAATTATTTTGTTTCAAATATTATTTTATTATAACATTATATATACCGGTATGTATAAATACTTCAAATGGCCACAGATATTCTGAAATAACGATAATTTGAAATTTTCAGAAAATTTTACTCGGATATGGGGTTGTTTGCTATGAAAATCACTTGCTTTCAGGCAGTGATTTTCCTAGCAAACGACTCTCATTGCTGTTCTCATAAATTTTGAGACGTTTGGTAATTATCTGGCCGATTTGATTCGGCAGTGATAAACTTTTGATTTTGGGTGTGATTATCAATATAACGATAATGATATACTGTATATTTTTTTGCTATTGTATTCTGAATGATACTACAATGTCAACACATCCAAAATTAGATTTCGCTTGAAGGCATGTCCGGTATGTTTGATGTGCTCTTGCCAACCAACAGATCTTAACAAAAAAACAAAATATAAGATAAGCTTTCATAATAAATATATTACACAAGGAGGCGCTAATAAAAAAGTTCGATATGAACAAGAATTTATTGACTAAAGAAAATATAACAAGTTGTAACCAAGTATTAATATTTGTCGAAACTGTATTGAAAAATCAACAAAACCAGTAAAAATCTATAAAAGTATTTTATTTATTTATGTAATATAAATTGTAATAAATTTTTTAAAAATATTGAGACTGTTGATCTAACAAAGCGCCAAATACATCACTGTCATTAGCAAAATATGCACTAGATGTCTAACCAATTATATATTAGATTTCGGAAATGGTTAATGTATATATATTCTCATAACCTTACCTCGTCTAAGCTGACCCTAACCTTAAATGTCATGATGTACTGATGTACTGATGTACTGATGTATCTGGCTTAGCCATCTCCCTGATTCAGAAATAGTACGTAGGAATTAGAAGTTCATATATTTTCTATTCGAATTAAAATTTAACTATGTTTGTGCCCCAGTTGTTGTGGCAAGATCGATAATTTTTAATAATTTATGCAGCATGTATGATGAGAAAAATCTTATCTTCAATTTAGCCAATCGGAATTACTGATAATCAGCCAATAAACCAAGAATATCGATGTTATTAAATCCAGAAATCATGATTGTATCAGAAGAAATTCACGATACCAGATGGCACGCTTCTTGAATCTTTTGCCTTATGTTCTTTCAAGTAAAAGATATTCAAAACTCGTAAAATTACTGGCACCAATTTTAAAGAAAACCGACATAAATTTGCCAACAGTAGAAGAATTTCATGTTATTGCCAAGTTAGTCCTGTTGATATCTTGATCACAATAAATTTCAAGTTGACTTATTTTACGTAGACACAAATTTTCGTATTTAGTGCTAGGCCACATAACCACCACAATTCTTTTAGTGCACTATGGTGTTCGCATAATGAATGCTTACCTAGTGATACTAGAGTAGGAATTGCGAGCTTTTTCAAAGTTTATGTTATTGCGATTTTTATGACGATTATAACGCAGATACCTGCAGGTTTTAGGAAAGAAAAAAGGTTAGTATGAATAAAATATACTTAAAATTTGATTATTACGCGCTTACCATTAACGTTTGCCAATTTGCATATTTCATGATAGATTTAGCCAAATAATTAATAGTAAACTTACTACATCTTCTGCACGGTTTGCACTCTCAGTTTCTTCTTATTTTGTAATATATAAAGTTTTACTTCGTTTCTTTACACGCGTCTTTGACCCTTTGCTTGGTCCTCGAAACAACTTGAATATTAATGATGTAACATGTTCACCCTTGGTTCCTCCATTTTTTTGCTGGTTTGTTTGCGGGTCCTTCATTACTTTTTGATAAAGATCAATCAAGAAGAATTTTTATTGCTACCTCTATATTGTGCAAAAGTTTGCAAACTGTTTACTATACACTGAGGCAAAATGGTTTTATTCCTATAATGCCATGGTGGTGGGGATCATGGATGATTTTTCCAATCAGTTCTGCTCAGCTCATATATGCTTATTTGGTTCATCCAGATACTTTTCCTGTTAGTAAAGTCAATCAATTTTTATTTTTATTTTTATTTTTTTAGTTTCTTCAAGGCTCAATAATTGAACAAACAAATCATTATATCAAATTTATTATTAGAATAACTACTCAAACTTTATTACCAGTAGAAGTACTACATATGTACAACAACGTCCGAGTGACCTCCCTGAATCTTTTCCTTGGCCATCAGGCCGTGAAATCGTTGATCAAATTGCGATAATAACATCACTTAATTATCCTGAATTCCGTTCACCTAAGCTCCACGGCATAAATGATTCTGCATTTCCGGATAAATTGAAAACTATCCGGCCAATTTTAGAAATAGCTCACCCAGCACATACCAAATTGTTATGTGCTGTATTACATCCAGAAGATACTAGTTGCTTGGCAAATTACTCAAAATTCATAGCTAAGGAGGGTATTACAGCTCTAAAATTTATGACATTAGTGCATATTGTACCCTTGCTCTTCAGGAGTAGAGATCTCGTTAAAAGGTGAATATATAAATAATATTTTATAATAGATTGATCCATAAAACAAACGTTAATATCTTATATTTCCTTTAATAGGTTTAACTTAATGACTACTCAAATTTTGAGTCGCGTTGTGCCATCGATATTTAAAAGTGCAACTTTCATTACTATGGCAATTGCTACTGCATGGGCTTTATTATGCGGCTTTCAAAATATTCTTCCTAAAAAATATATGCCTGTGACTAGGTAATAAATTAAATTCCATCTAAATATTTGCGCTCTTTTACTTTAAGCTCTTATATTGTAATTATAAACCCTTTCTTACCAAGAATATACGCGAACGGATTTATAGCCGGTCTATGGATCTTAGTTGAGAGCAAAAGTAGAAGGTTAGATATCGGATTGTATAGTTTAAGACTATCAATTGAATCATTCTGGAAACTTTTAGTTAAAACTCGTAAAGTAAGAAATGTTAGGTGTGTTTCTTTTTTTTTTTTACGATTTTATAAAATTTGTAAAAATTGTTATTGAAAAAAATTTATTCTCTATTAAAAGAAATGGCGAAGTTATTTATTTTTCGTTTGCAATGGCTTGTATTATGGCCATCTATAAGACTCAACCAAATAATATTACACCATCCTATATGAGGCAGACAATACAAAATTTGCTTCAAGAACGTAGTTGAAGCACCGAAACGCTTAACTTTCTACCGTAAAATTTGAAGTTCAAATGTGAGACTGTTCTTACACAGTTTTTGTTGAATTTGGACATAAGAAACTATTCTAAAATTTTTTATTTTTTATTTTTATTTATTTATTTATTTTGCACAAGTTTGAAAATATAAAATTTTATTTTTATTTTATTTTTTTACCGAATAAAATTGAAATGATAAAATTAAGATGATTTAAATATCATAAAAGAAAATTGTCTACAAATTTGAAACATATTTACATCGAGAAAAAGAAAAAATTACCAAAAGTACCAAATATTCTTTATTTGACACCTAACAAGAAATCATAAAATGAAGGGTATACAAATCAACATTATTCAAATAAAAAGAAAGGCTTCAAATATTAGCGTGACCGAAAGCACATGCTTATCTTTAATACTCACACGTGGGCGTTTTAATTACCTTCTCCCAAAAATAGATCATTTTAGTGAAAAAATTTTGGATTTATACAGTCGTTAAAGCAAATATATAATTGATAGGATGTTGAATAATGAAGTATGGTTCAAACATAAACAGAAATAAAAAATGGATGATGCGATTTATAAATCGTGCGTTGTTTATCTATTTTGATTGTTCTTTTAAATTAAGCAATCCTTGCGCACATTTACAAAAGCACTTGAACCAACACCATTCCTAGATAATTCATGAAGGACTACCGAAGCCTGTCGATAAACTTGCTCTAATGAAGGAATTTTCGGTTTCCCTTGTGATACTATAAAAAAACATTTTTAAATTTTGAACATTTTTTGAGTAAATTGGCATTTATCGTTAAATAGAAATTATGGAATGTATATAAAGTCTCGTACCCAATATTGCACTATTTAATGCATTTGCGACCGGTTCTCGACCAGAAGGGTCAAGTAAATGCGCCACACAGCTAATGCGGGGATCATCGTATGCCATTAATGAAAATGCATCCTAAAAATAATAGGCAAATGATTGAGAGTTATCAGATATTTGGTATGATAATTTGCGCAAATATCATATCGGATAACATCAATATGGTATACAATTCATGACTGCAAAATTACTGCCACTCGTGCAGCATAGCAGTGCGGAGTGATATTAATTCCGATGAAAAAATTGCCTATTTATATGACCAATATTGTATACATATAAACTCTATTTTAGTGATTTATAGATATCAAACCTTTAGAGCATTTTTTATTTCTTCACGATCATCGTCACGGTAATCATCATGTAACTCACAACCAAATTTTAATGCTGCCTTCATTGCATCATCTAATCCATCCAATCCCAATGTAACTTTTCGTCTTTTAGGCACTCTTCTCTTCTTATGTGGAGTCAATGGACCATCTATCTCATCGTCTGACTCACAATCACTTTGAGAAATAATGGCACTGAACTCATCAACATCCATTGCATCTTTATACTCATCATCTTCATCCTCTTCGTCATCATCGTCTTCATCTTCCTCAGTGCTTTCATTAACTTCTTCATCATCAGTATCATCTTCTTCACTCATTGTATGACTATTATCAACCTTTATACTAACATCTTCATTATCTGATAACGTTATTTTGGTTCCCGCACAAGCGCCTATCATTTCAATAAATTTACGGCATCGAAGTTGGAAAAGAATATCATCATTAGATTGTAAAACATCAGAGTAGCATTTATCAGTTAATTCAATAGCAAGGTCAATATTTCCTGCAAGAACAGCGTCACGAATTCCTAAAGTATAAGTTAACTTGTTATTTAAATTCTATTTAAATTTAACAAAATGATTAATTCTAGTAATCATATATTGCCTACTCTGCCGATTCAACATATCCATATCCATATCTACCGACGGATTTTCACTTTCTACACCCTCCATTTCATTCATTTCATTGTTGTATGTTTGAGAAATCCGTACAGCATCTCTAGAGAATGCCTTGGCAGTTTCACTAAATCCGTGGTGAATAAGGTATGATAAAATAAGCTGATGTGCATTGGCTGTAAGATTTGCTTCTGATGCGGCTTGGGAGATAGGTGCAGAAGCGAGAGGAGATGAAACTGGTGGCATCGGCGTTGCGTTAATTACATGCCATAATCGCGCTTTTTCTTCCTGCATATAAAAATTTTAAAATGATACGCATCATACAATTTACGTGAAAGCGCAATACAGATAAACCAACCTTCATATAATGTTCGATCGCGTATTTGAACTTTCTATGTCCAAAATTTACTTCAACTGACTCGCCTTGCGTCCTCATTCCAATAGATGGATACAGGGTACCTTTCAAATCCCGGAACGCAATTCCTTGAAAATATTGTAAAAAATATATATATTATTATTATTATTATTATTATTATTTACGGTATTTTTTGACCATATTAATAACAATTACCTAAATGTTTTCCGTTTTTTGTATAAAATGCAGTGCCATCTCTAAAATTTATACAACACCCAATCGTATCTCCAGTTGTAAAGACTGGACCATATGGTTTGCCCGTTCCTGAACAACAAAAAGAATGTCCATCGTCACCATGATAACCCCATGAGTCATTTTCCCATCCTATGAGTATTATAAAAAGTAATAATTTTAGATAATCATATTCGTAACTGATAGTTAATAAGTAAAAGTTTTATAATTACCGGGCAATCTATTTAGAAGAACTGTCTTTGCACAAAACCCGATTCCAATATGCCTTTCAGAAAGAAATAAGAATTATAAAATATAAGAATATTGAATATATATATAACGCTAAAATTATATTTAGTAATGCTATATTACCCATCCTTTCCTTTGCTTATAATATCGACTTCAAAATAAAATAGCCCACACTGTGGTGGAATCGGATAATTTGCTCGGATCGCAGCAGCATCTGTATCAGCTTTTCCAGAACCTTTGCGTTTGAAAATTCGCGTAAGTTAACAAATTACGTGATAACTTTTTAGATGAATATCAAGTGAATTTAAATTTAAAATCGCCAAATGACAAGAATTCATGTATGATTTTTGGATCATTCGTTTCAACAAATCATTTATATTAGGATCGAATGAGCGATCGTATCTCAAAGAACTATTTAAAAAACTAAAAATGGGTTCAATATATTATTCGATTCGTCTTACCTATATAATTTATTCTAAGTCTATCTGAATCTACGTTCAATAGAGCACATTTATCATCGACATTCCATGCAGTTGGTAAAACCACATAATCGAGCGAATCTTTGTCAGCTACACTATTGTCCCCTGAAAACTTTTCCGCATGCGCTTTATTATACAGCTCTGCAAAGCTTGTGTTAGCAAGGTATTCCGGAAGTTTAGGTTTTGGAGGTGCGGACTTCAACTGTGTGCTTGAGTTAGACAAGTTCATGGGAAGAGCTGAAGAAGAAGCGAGTGGATGGTTATAATAAGTCGAATGTGTAGAAGAACCAATCGCGTGTGCGGTTGAAGCCGCGTTGACTGGATTAATGTTTGATCGTAAATACGTTGAACTAGCTTGACCAGCTGTTAAAGTTGGATATTGCACGATAGGGGGTGGATTGGTCATTGTTGCAGGTAGTGGAGGATATGGTGAAGCAGAGGAACTAGACATTATTGCTAAGTGTGGAGCAACTGCACTATTCAAGGGAATGGCTCGGCTCCGAGAAGACACAGAATTCGAAGTAGTAGTAGTATTTGTCATTAACAGTGTATACAGTAATAAATAAAAATATATCTTTTATTTTAATTTTTATTAAATTAATTTACTGAAAGTATTTAAAAGATACATGCTTTGGTACATCTAAGTATGGGCTACTGTATAATGTTTTTATTAATAAAAATTTACTATAGAGATATAAATATACAATATATTTTATATAATGTTAAGCCAATTATATTTCAACATACAGTATTAATAAACTACAGTAATATAAATTAGTTTAACAAAATAAAAAATCTTGTAAAAATTATAAATTATTATAGTTTTAATGCTAATAGCACCTGTTTTTTAGTTTAAAAACTGCAGTATATTTTATATAATATTTGTTTGTTTTTTATACTTAGACCTACTTTATTCTTAAGAGCAAGCCAAAGCGATCACTACTCTACAGATATTATTAGTGTTTCGATCCTAATTTCTAAGGCCATTCGGATTAAATTCGGATCGTCTTTGTTGTATCCGGATGACAATCCGAATTTGGGTAAATTCGGATTCAATTATTAAATCCGGATTCTATTTATGTTTTACTAGCTTACCCGTAGCTACAAGGACTATTCTATGCGTAAGTAATGCTTAGCAAGAACTTGCAATGTCTTTATTCATTTGATAAACTTTATTTCTTTCTGATTGCATTAAAACCCTGTAAGGTTAAAATGATTAAATGTATAAGATCTATTGCTTACAGGTATTCATTTAATATCACTTATAATTTTGGGATTTAACATTCGGACTGACAAAGAATTCTCGAAATAGTGTAAAGTATAATTATGCTAACGAGTATTTTATCGAATTAGATTACATTTTCAATTACAGATTATGAATTTTATCCATTTTGTCGTGTCTGAAGTATAGAAAATGCGCTATTTTGCCAATTATGTGAAATGTAAAACTTGTTTAATGTATTATAAATTTTAAGCAGAGATTAAAAGATGGTCACACTTCTGGACAAAATGGATAAAACTGCTTAATATGATGGGCCCAAAACTCCCGATTCTAACTTCAAAGTTTAAATAGGTACTGTATATTTTGTAATTTACTTTTGCACCAATAAACAACACCTATTAGAATAAATATTTTGTTGAATGAACCCCATCATGTCAATTATATGGGCTGCCGTCAATAGAAATAAGGCAGATTGACATTTTAAAAAAAATCAATACCTTAACTTTCACAGCCAAT